CACAGCACAGAGAAACCATTTGGCTGTAGAGTTTGTAATAAGAGGGTTTTACGACAAGGAAATCTAAAGTCTCACATGTATACTCACACAGGAATGAAACCATTTATTTGTGGTTTTTGTAGTAAAAGTTTTACCCATTCAGGTAGTCTTAAGAGTCACATGTATATTCACACAGGAGAAAAACCTTTTATTTGTCGGGTTTGTGGTAAAACATTTCCACGACAAAAGAATCTAAAAAGACACATGTATGTTCATACAGGAGAGAAACCGTTTGTTTGTGGAGTGTGCAGTAAAAGATTTCCACGACCAGAGAATCTAAAGAGGCACATGCGTGTTCATACAGGAGAAAAACCGTTTATTTGTGTTGTTTGTAGTCAAGGATTTTCACAACAACATATTCTAAAAAGTCACATGCATAGTCACACAGGAGAGAAACCATTTATCTGTGGTGTTTGTTGTCAAGGATTTTTACAAAAAAGAAACCTGCAGAGTCACATGCGTGTTCATACGGGAGAGAAACCATTTACTTGTGATGTTTGTCATCAAGGATTTTCTCGACAAGATGCTCTAAAAAGTCACTTGCGTGTTCACACAGGAGAGAAACCATTCGTTTGTGATATTTGTAGTCAAGCATTTTCACGACAAGATGGTCTGAAAAGTCACATGCATGGTCACACAGGAGAGAAACCGTTTACTTGTGGAGTTTGTAGTAAAGGGTTTTCCCAAAAGGGAAATCTAAATAGTCACATGCGTGTTCACACCAGAGAAAAACCTTTTGCTTGTGTTGTTTGTTGTAAAGCATTTTCACATTCAGTTAGTTTAAAGAGACACATGGGTTTGCACACAAGAGAAACTATATGTTTGTAGCAGTAGAGGGGAAGCCTTTTCAAGCTGCGACAATTTATAAAAAGGGTGGATGGTCACAGTGTGTGTTTGAAGCACCAGGGTCTGTTCAGATTCAAAGAGTCCTTCATATGCAGCCAATAAATTTAGCCTTTTTGCCCAGTTGGAAGGCCAGGCACGCTGTATACTTCGTAGTTCAGGGTATCCGGTTACTCATTGCGAGTCCAAGCGAGCCAGCTGTTCCATGCTCAGAGAAAAAAAGGGAATTGCCGAAAAACGGTGGTGAATATTGTAAGTAAGGCTGCAAATAACGATTATTTTTGCAAATGGGTAAATCTGTAAATAATTTTTTCGATTAATTTTTGGATAGCAGAAGGTTCCTATTAGAAGGCTTTTTGAGAAATTAAACCCGGTGAAACGTTTCTG